TTGTAATAACTGTTGGTTTCTAAATGTTTTAAAAAGTTTAAATTTGGCTTGATTTTTATGGATGTTACAGAGCCCATTGATGAGAGGCTGCGGGAGCTCATCGTAGCCGAGGTTATGAGGGGCATCCTTGACGCTGCCCCAGTGATTTTCGGGACCGTCAAGGAAGGGATGATGGAGATCGTGGAGGAGCGGCTCAGGTCTTCCGAGTCGAGATTGCTACGGACTAGGTCGGGGCCCGAACTCCCTCGTTCCGGGAGGTCAAGGTGTGCGGAGCGCCTGAGTTCTTTGGGGTCAGGGACCCCATAGCTAGTCGACGCTGGGTGGCAGACATGGATAATGCCCAGCACACGAGCTTTTTCCCCGAGGCGGCAAAGGTGGGGTTTGCCTCGTGTATGTTGAGGGACCGAGTCAGGGATTGGTGGGAGGAGGTGACTAGCCAGGTGGGATCAGCCGGTGTGGTTGAGATGTCATGGGAGGAGTTTGTCAGCCGCTTTGATCTGGAGTTTGCACCATCTATTGAGGTGAAACGGTTAGCGAGGGAGTTCCATGAGCTCCAGCAGACCACCGAGACTGTGGCGGAGATCCCTGCCAAGTTTCGGGAACGAGCGTTGTTGATCCCGCAGTATGTTGCGGATGAGGATATGAGGAGGACGAGGTATCATTCTATACTGAGGGATGACATCTGTGAGTTCATAGCTTTACGGGGTGCAAAACCCTGAATGAGATGGTGGAGAAGGCCCGAGAGCGGGAGATGGAGTTGGAGCTTCGCACCAAGCGGAACCCATAGCAGGTTCAGACAGCTGTAAGTCAGGCTAAAAATCCTAAGACCTCTGATTCTTCCAGTAGGGGCCAGTAGGGTCGTGGCCGGTGTACCAAATATGGGAGATCGCACGGTGGGGTTTGTCGGGTGACGGGCCCGGTGTGTTATACATGTGGTCAGTCGGGCCACGTAAGTAGAGATTGCCCCAAGAAGGGCTTGATTTGTTTCCACTGCAACCAGACCAACCATAAAAAGGTCGATTGCCCGAGGTTGCAGGGAGGAGGAGGAGCAGTGGCGGCGCCTGCACCCGCTACAATGAGGATCACTGATGGCCGCCCTGCTAAGGCGGATGCTCCTGTGGTGAAGAGCCGCTCATTTCAGTTGACCACCAAGGATCGGGCAGCGCCAGACGTCATGGTTGGTACGTAAATTATTTTCCTGCTTGATATTGATTTGTATTGCTTATGTATATATGTGCTCCTGTATAGGGACCTTTTTGTTCAATGGTATGTCGGCTCATGTTCTTTTCGATTCGGGAGCTACCCGATCGTTCGTATCTCTTGCGCTTAGCAAGAAGTTTTAGGATGCTCCGGGGACTTTGGATTCCCCGCTTGAGGTTGAGATTACGGACGACCGCACTATGAGTGTTGCGAGAGTATATCGGGACTGTGTCCTGAATGTGTTGGGGTGAGGTTGGGCACCAAGTCATGGGAAGCACCGAGGTGGTGCTTAAGACTACCGAGCTGATCCAGCAAGTGCGCGACAGACTGCGAGTCGCGCAAAGCCGTCAGAAAAGTTATGTTGATCGGTGTCGCTCGGATCTTGAGTTCCAAGTGGGAGACTTCATTTTGCTGAAAGTGTCACCATGGAAGGGCGTCATTAGGTTTCAGAAGAGGGGGAAGTTAGGGCCCCGATATATTGGTCCGTTCAGGATTTCTGCCAGGGTGGGCAAGGTGGCTTACCGTTTGGATTTGTCAGACGAGCTTAGCCAGAATCACAACACCTTCCATGTGTCTCTGCTTCGGAAGTGTGTCACAGAGGAGGCCACGGTTATTTCTTTGGATAACATTCAGGTGGATGAGAGCCTGAACTACATTGAGAGGCCCGTTGCGTTCTTGGATAGGAAAACTAAGGTTCTCCGTAACAAAGAGGTGAAGCTAGTGAAGGTGCAATGGCAGCACCGGAAGGGCTCGGAATGTACATGGGAGCCGAAGGAGGAGATGCGAGAGCATTACTCGGGTTTGTTTGCATCAACAGACTTCGAGGACGAAGTCTAGTTCAAGTGGGGGACATTTGTAACGCTTGATTCAGGTATCATTTATTTCTCAAAACTTTAGGGTTTTGGGCTGGAACTCGACGAGTTGGGGAGCTCCAACTCGTCGTGTAGGAATTGTTTTGGACGTGGGATTAAGGGTCTACTCGACGAGTTGGAAGGCCCCAACTCGACGAGTAGACGCTGGAAAGGAAAACCCTAACTTTTAGGGTTTGCACCCTATTTAAGGGCCTTAAGCCTCATTGTTAGCCTCCCTTATCGCCCCCTTTGTCCAGAGAAACCCTATTTCGTGCTTTTCCTACCATTTTGAGTGTGTGATAGCTTGAGGAGTTCCTTTTTGGTGTTTATGTGAAGAAGCTTGAAGCGGTTGGTGCATAGCTGAAGGGAGAGGCTGTAGATCCGGTGTTTACTCGGTTGTGGCAACCTTTTTAAGGTATAAAGTCGATACCTTGGCCTTTTATTGCTTAGATATTCTCTTATGAAAGTTTATGGCCATTATTATCCTAGTTTGGGACCATTCTTGGATTTGAGCATGTTATGAAGATATGGCTTCAGATCTGGACATCTCATGGCCTTTGTAGACTTAAAGTTGCCAACTTTATCAAGTCTTGGCCCTCCTTCATGCTCTAAGTCCCTTGATAAGCTTTGTTTGAGTGTTTTAGCCCTTTGATGCCTTGCATTGATGTAAAGTTAGCAACTTTACGTGGTGTCTTAACCCTAGGGGACCGGATCTATAGTTTGGGGCTTTAGTTTCGACTGGAAGGGGCTGAATATGTTAAGACTAGGAAAAATCGACGAGTTGCCCTGACAACTAGACGAGTTGGATCGTGTTTTCCCGCCTTCTGGATACTGAGCGAACTCGGCGAGTTGATGAGATAACTCAGCGAGTTGGCTAGGGTTTTTCCCGATTTTCTGAACACTGAAGGAACTCGACGAGTTGCTAGATGCACTCGACGAGTTGGGTCAACATGGACTGTTGACCTCGACTGTTGACCTTGACTTTGACCATGGTTGACCAAGTTTGACTTTAAGGGTATTTTTGGTATTTCGGGATTTTGAAAAAGTTAGTCACATGGTGGTTGTAAGCAGTTGAGTTGGAGCTGTGAGTTGGGATTGATCTTATCAGTTCAACATTTCTTGAGAGGTGAGTCTTCTCACCATACCAATGGGTCGAAGGCACCAAGGTCGGCCCATTATATGATATGTGGATTGTTAGTTGATTATGTGTTATGTTGGTATGACATTTGCATGGAAGACCCCGGGGGGTTCCCGTGGCAGTAGATTAAGACCATGTGGGGGTTCCCATGGCATTTGGTGTAAGGCCTTAGAGGGTTTCCATGGCATCCTAGTATGTTGGCATGTTTAGTTTGTATGACATTTCCTGATTAGCTAAGACCATGTGGGGGTTCCCATGGCAGTTAGTGAAGACCGCGTAGGGGTTCCCATGGCAGTTAGTGAAGACCATGTGGGGGTTCCCATGACAGGTAGTAAGACCATGTGGGGGTTCCAGTGGCACTCGGTCTAAGACCTTGGAGGGTTTCCATGGCATCCTTATATGTTTGTATGCATGGCTTATGTGGTTTATGTAGCTGATATAGCTAATATGGATTATGTGATCATGTGGATTGTGTGGGGTATGCTTTGGGGAACTCACTAAGCATTAGCTTACAGTTTGTTGGTTGTTTCAGGTACTTCAGAACCTAAGGGCAAGGGCCCGACTTGATGGCGCGGCATGCACTATCCGACGTTTCATTTGGGTACACTCTGATATTATGAATAAAATGTTTGATGTTGTGGATTTTAAAAACAATTGTGATTGGTATTTCATGTTTACTGGAAATGATTTTGTTATTTACAAATTAAAAATTTTATTGGAAATTTGGGCCGTTACACCTTGTTTGGAGTTAACCCCAGCTCTTTCATTTGGTCGTATAACAACAAACCTGCATTGGGTTCCCCGTTATCTGTGTAGCCCTTTATCATTGAATGTCATAAGCTTAAGTTGTCTCGTTCATGCATTCTGTCGAACACCCTGCATGCATCCCTCATGTTGTTGCATTTTATGTATAGTACTATCAATTTAGAGTTCAAATTCACAAAACCGTAGTAGGGAGATCGAATAAGAAGCTGCTGAACCTTCTTCCCCAGTTCAAGATCGTCACACGAATCCAAAACAAGCTCAAAAACATCGGATCCTGCGGGCACACCTTGAGACATTAACTCAATCGTTTCTTTAATCGACCCATTTTTACATAGTGCCATTAAATCCACATCTGGTGGCGGAGATGGGTTGGTGTGTTTTCGTGTTTTGGGAAGAGTTGGTGGTTTTATGGATGTGTTGAGTCGGCGATTGGTGTTCGATTCTACCGAAGTCAACATCAGGGCCACCGCCGGAGCCGAAGAAGACAACGGTGGAGCCGGAGAAGACAACATCGGAGCAGGTAAAGATGAAAGACGGTAAGGGATTTGATCGGATTCGGGTTCTAAAGAAAGCATTACATTAGGTGTTACACGTGGCAATTGAGTTAACATCTAAACCTGCTGATTAGGATGAGTGTCACCGGGTGACCCCTTTAAATTTTCCAAAAGGACCTTTTAAAACCTAAAAATACTAGTTCGTGCCCTTCAAATGCAAAAAATAGTCACGAGGGACCATTTAAACAAATATATTAAAACTTAATAGTTTAAATATGAAATAATTAAATAGAGTTTATCTTTTATGATTATCTAATATAAACAATGATTAAAACTTTGAGACACATTGTCATTTTTTTGTTTCCACTAAACATCCTTCATAATATTCATATTATGATTTTTTTAACGTACTTCTGGAAATGAGAAACTCAAGGTGGGTAGTTAGGGAGATTGGAACGTCGTAATTCTTAATACATGAAGTGGCAGTCTCACCACTTTACCGATTAAGATATTCCTAATGTCTTAATTATTTAATATCAAACTAAGTAAGTAAAAATAAACGATCGCCAAAATGCTAATCAAATTAAATTAATATATTTTTATTAATGCTAAAATTAATTAGTGAAAAATACATCCGGTTTCGTGGTGTAGTTGGTTATCACGTCAGTCTAACACACTGAAGGTCTCCGGTTCGAACCCGGGCGAAGCCATATCTCTTTATTTTAATTTTCAAAAAACTTGACATATGTAATCATAAATATAAAAATAGAAACTATAAGCAAATGGTTTCGTGGTGTAGTTGGTTATCACGTCAGTCTAACACACTGAAGGTCTCCGGTTCGAACCCGGGCGAAGCCATATCTCTATTTTTTTTATTCGCAAAAAAAAAACTTCATAGGTGTGATCATAACTAAAGTGTTATGTAACTTATGTTCATAGCTACATATTGCAAGAATTCTCTATTCCTTTTCGAGTACATCAATATCTTGTATAATCTTTTTATGATTATTTTTCTCTTGGTTAATTCTCGTGTCCTTGTTATAGCTTATGCCACATATAGCATCTTTCTTGTGAAAACACCCACTTCCAATAATATAGGCATCTCCCATAAGGTTGTCAAAGTCATGTGTCTTGTATGAAAAAAAATAAATAAATAAATAAATACTTGGTATAACTAAGGAAACCGAGTAAATGGAAGAGATGCTAAGAACAAGACCATTTCAATCAAACACAAGGAAACCGGAGATGGATTAGATGGTATAACTAAAAAACCTTTCATATGCTCCTTCTAGAGTTGGGATCCTCTTATTAACAGCTTGAAAAAGTCGGCCGAATTAATTGGTTTAGAGATGAGGGAGGCAACAAAGACATTTGATAGAGTTTTTGGAATTAAAAGCAATAGAGAGGAACTTCGTAACAAGCTTTTTGCGAACATAGTTGAGGTTTTGACTATTCATTAGTGTACCCAAGGTTGTATGTATGCTCATGAAAACAAATTTGGATGGGCAAAGGACGTGTTTTCTGATGCTTCTTGACGTTATATATGAGGAATTTTCGATAAATTTTTTTTTAGTTGACAGCAATAAAAAAAATAGAACTGATTCGTACACAACAAAATTTCTCCATAGATAACATTTTGTGCTTTAAAATATTGTATTGTACAACTCTATTAAACATAAAATGTTGTGTACGGATAAAAACTGTTGTGTACAAATCACTTCTCATAAAAAAAACTATTGTTTGTTTTTGTTTATCCTGCGAAGACATTGATATTATATTTCTTACGAATTATTTCAAATTTATTTACACTTTTAGCAAGATAAATTAAAACATTGATCTTCTAATGTGTTAATAATGCTAATGCGATAAAAACAGTTTTTTCTTAATATATATTTATTATAATTTCTAATTAGATAATGTTGTAAAAATTTGTAAATTGTATGTATGTTGTGCATGAAGATTTTTTGTCATTTGTTAATGAATTTAATTTAATTTCGTTCGTTATGTATCTACTTACCAAACAACGTATCTTATAATTTATTCCACTCTAATAAGATAACCAAAATAATGAAATGGTAATGATTCTTTTCTTTATATTGTCCATTCTATTACGTGCTCCATTCCATTTCATCCTATAAAATAGACCTTTTAAATCTTAAAGGCATGACACCTTGAAAATTTTAATTAATAAAAACCATTTATTTTAGGAAACTCAATATTAATTTTTCAGATGAGTTTTGTAAGTCTAGGATTTTAAAATGTTAAATCTACGCTTTTAGAATAATAAATGTATTTTACATTATAATGTTCATAATATTGTGACAAAAACAACATAAATTCAGAATTTTGGATCTATTTTTTTCGAGATTTGAAAATAATCACATTGAAAACCAACTCAACAACCAAATAGCTCTAAAATATCAGGCATCATAATTCATAATCCTTAGAGCTCTAGGGGAAGTTTCAAGTTTTAAGCAATCAACTTTTTTTTTTATGAAAAATAGTAACCTACTTCTGACTTCTTCCATTTTGGGTTGTATGTTAAGTTTTGTTGTAATGAAATATAGAGTATGTTGCTATTATGTGATAAATAAATAAATAAATTACATGAAATATAAGCAGATAAACATTGGTTGCTATTTTCTGAAGAAAAAAAAGTACGTCCATAAATGGAAATTTAACAATCAGAAGTTGTTCTTTTATTTATCTTCCTTTAAACTATCTAAATCTACAACCCAACTTCAATTCATAAATCATATACCAATACATTTCTATACATATTTTAGAATTCAAAATGCCATCAAAATATAAAAAGCTAGTCTAATAACTTTGAAGTACAATCAACAGCACTTGTACTTCATGCAATAAAAGTTGTACCTTAAACATTAATTAGTTGTTTAATTAGGGCTTGTATATTAGTTAGATCCAAACTCTTTGTTCCAATTGTCAAGTTCTTCCCACTTGCTTTTTACATAGCTTGGTCGGATCACGGCCATAGCCTTTTGGAAATCTCCATATTTTAATCGTCGTACCTAGTAAAAACAATTGGAGATTAATTACCATTCTATATCAAGGGTATTTTGGTCTTTTGTTAAAAAAAAGGAAGAATGAAACCGAATTCCTTCCACTCTCCTCTATTTGAAGAAATAGAATTCTTAGTTGCATAAGTTAGAAAAAAAAGGTGAAATGTTGGTTGTATAAATGTGTATTTTAACACATCTGAAAATGGGCAAATGGGTAATTTTACCTGATCAGCCTTGACTGTCAGAATGTTTGAACCAAGTTCTCTTATTGGCATCATTGCAGCTTCTTCACACAAAGCTTGCAGATCACTCCCAGAATACCCTACATGATCACCACATTATAGAAGATTATTTGTATAAATACAAAAAAGAGGTAAAATACATTAAACCATTATATTTTTTGATCTTTTTATTAAAAAAAAAAATCCCAATTACTGGGTTTTAAAAAGTAATCTAAACCGATAAATGAAAGTACATTGCTATTTCTTACCCTCAGTGTCTTTCACAAGTCTTTCCAAATCTCCACCTGTACAATAAAACACTATTAGAAAAAGAACTTATATACATAAAAGATGTATATATTTTTTATGAAAAGTTAATAATTAATGGAAATGTATTTAAAGAAAAAAAAAAAGGAATATATTCTCACTTGGTAAGGAAAATGCTTGACCCTTGAGTTTGTGCTTGAGAAGATTTTTTCGAACATTTGCATTTGGCAACGGGATGTATATTCTCTTCACCTGATTCATGAGTTAAAAAAATTAAATAGTTGAAATGCGAGAAATAGCAATGTACTTTTCATTTATTTGTTTATTATAGAAAGGAATGTGTTGTTAAAAATGATTCAAATTACAATGTTTTAATAGAAAGGAATGAAAGTAAGATGATATCATGATATAATAATAAAAAAAAAGATGAATATATGTTGTTATTTCTTGCATTAAGTCCAAAGTAAAAACTTATTATTAAATTATTGAATGAACTCATGCAGCAGAAATTAGAAAACTTACCAATCTCCTAAGGACAGCATCATCTAATTCTTGTGGCTTATTCGTTGCACCTACATGAATAACAATGTACAATAATACGGATTAAATCCAGGAAATAGCAATGTACTTTCGTTCATATGTTTATTACAGCATAATTCTTAGAAAAATCTATCCAACTATAGCAATTTTCACTGCTATAATTGGGTAAAATTTTCAAAGTATAATGTTCTAATAAGGCAAAAAATAATAATAATAAGTAGAATGCTATGATTAGGTAGATTAGATTTTTCAATTAAATAGTATTGTATGAAGGTTATACCGATAACAATTACTAGATCATTGGAGTTTGAGGTAACCCCATCAAATTGAACTAGAAACTCTGACTTCAATCTTCTGCTAGCATCATGCTCATTAGATGTTCTTGCTGACATCACACTATCAATCTATAAATCACACAAAAAAAAAAAAAATCAAATTAGATGTTGACACATGTCAAACATAAGGGGCTCCCTCTCCATCTCTCTGTTACACATCCATTTCAGCCGCGTATCTTAGATAAGGGCAAAATGGGAAACTCAGCAAAATGCAGAGCATCTTTTAGTGGAGGGGTATTTTAGGTATTGTGCTTAATATAGTTTGTTATGACATATATTATAAGAGGATAGTGGGGAAGGAGAATGGAACATCTTTTGTGAAAAATCTTGTTCTTTTGGTGAATTATCAATATAGTGAAGCTTTTGATTTTCTGTTATTGTGTTTGATTTTATCTTAAAAGTAAGTTCATAGCACTCTCGTTTGTGAAAAAGACGTAAATGCCCTCATCAGCGTACCTCGTCCATGAATATCACAGAGGGTTGTCGTTCAACAGCAACTGCAAAAAGGGTCCGAACAAGTTTTTCACCTTCTCCCACCTGTTTCAGTTAAACACCAACATATGATGCACGTGAGAAATATCAACATCATGAAGGGCAAAGTTGGAAACTTAGAATCATGAAGGAAAAAAAAAACATACCCATTTTGATGTTAAAGAGGAAGCAGAGATGCTGAAAAAGGTTGCTTGTGATTCTGAAGCAACTGCCTTGGCAAGCATGGTCTTACCAGTGCCAGGTGGACCAAAGAGAAGCAAACCTCAAAGAAAACAAACAACACACTAAAAAATACTGATACATTCATTGGGTATAAAGGATTAAACACAAGAAATAGCATCCTACTTTTCTACCCAATTATAGGCTGCCTATAATACTATAGCAATGTATCCATGTAAATAGAAATTTCCACTGCTATAATTGGATATAGTTTTCTATAATGTCATAATAAGAATAAAATTGAAATTACAATGTGTTGATAAGAAATAACTTGAAAGTAGATTGTTGTAATGAAAAGAAATGGAAGCAGAAAGCTATAATACACAAATATATGAAAGCAAATTGCTATTTGTTGTATTTAACATGAGTATAAAAAGTACTTCAATTGCAAGAATACCTTTAGCAGGTCTACGGAGGCCTGTGAATAGATCTTTTCTTTTAGTTGGCAGGATTACCATTTCCAGCAAAGCTTGTTTAGCTTTTTCAAGCCCAGCTGCAATCACACAATCAGTTATGAGTTCTAAAAACTTAAAAAAAATCTTTTAAAAAGTAAAAGTAACTAGAATTAAGGTTAAATACAAAGATAACAATGTACTTTCATTGATCTGTTTATTAGATCCATCATTGTACTTTGAAAAATCCACCCTATTATAGCAACTCATCCACATATAAAGCAGATATTACTGCTATAATTGGATAGATTTTTCAAAGTATAATGTCCTAATAAGAATAGAAAGAAAGTAAAACACTATAATTGGGTGACTTTTGAATGTATAATGCCTTAATATGAAAAAGAAAATGAAAGTACAATGCTGCAATAGAAAGAAATGTAAAGTAGGATGCTATATTACACAAACAGATAAAAAGTGCTTTGCTTTTGTCTTACCAATATCTTCCCATTTGACAGATGGACTTCTGTCCACAATAACAGAATTTATCATCTCAACCAATTTTGAATCAAGACCACTATTAGATTCTTGAACAGGCTTTGTTATGTTCATTGCTTTGTTACTCTGATTTCGTGTTACAGCACCACGTAAACTGGAAGCAGCAGAAGACTTTTGTGACACTGATTTTGTAGGATTAGGCTTCGATGGAGAGACTGGAGTAGCTTGTAAATGAGTAGAGGCATTCTGCAGAAATAGCAATGTACTTTCATTGCATTGTTTATTATAGCATCCTACTTTCAATTCTTCCAATTACAGTATTGTACTTTGATTTGTTTATAATGTCTTAATAATAAAAGAAATCGAAAGTATAATGATATAATTGGATAGAATTTTAAAGTCCCGTGACTTGATAAGAAAAAAACTGACAATTCTGTGATAGAAAGAAACGAAAACAGGATGCTATAATACATTACAGAGATAAAGTAAAGTATAATGCTATTTCTTGCATGGAGCCCTATATACAAACATTAGTAGTTACTCTCCTATAACTATCCTTTATGTCATAAATGCATGCATTACATGATAACTTAAAGGAATCGCCAATTTTAATACCAAAGATGATGTATAAACTAGATATATAAACTTACACTTTAGTTAGACGAATGCGTACCTTGTTTACTGACGTGCCACCTGTGAGCAGAAAATCCAGAAAAAGGCAGCATAAGGAACTTAAAGCAAAGAAAAATCAAGACCATATGAAATAATATAGAAATCATCTGAAAGAAGTGTGAAATCTTAGAACCTGATCGATGGTTTAAAGTGCGTAGTCTCTCAGAAACTTGACCCTGCCATTTTGATATCTTTTGGCGATAAGATTTCACCTTCTCTTGTTCTCTGTTGAAGTATGAAGGGGAAAATGAGCATTGAGTTTTAGTAATTATGATGTTCTAAAAGTTTTAAATTCTGAAAACTATTGCTCTACATGACAGCAAGATCATGAAATCGAAACTAATTTTGTAGTGTTTGGCAAACTGATTTAGAGAAGCATGCAAGGAATTGTTGCAGAAAACCTAATTTTTGAGGCAAATCTAAAATCACCTAACTATCCATTACTTTAATCCACTGATTATCTGAGAAGTGTCTTTGAAATCGCAAATTGAAACACCCTTTCAATTAATCAATATGAGACTTATTGATTGATTTTCAAACTAACCACTGTCAAACTTCTAACCAATAAAAAAAACAAAACTTAATACACGAACGCAGTAATAATCACCACAAAAATAAACAAAATCTATTACCTGGAACTGATATACGAAGGTACAGGTGTAGCAATGGCTTCGCCTAATATACGTTGAGCGTTTTGATAATGTAAGATAGCATCATCAATTAAACCCCATTCTTCTGCCCTAACCGCTTTATCAATCTCTTCTTTTGCCAGATCAAAGTATCCCTTAAGCTTATACGCGGCCCGTTCATTCTCCACCCCTTCCATGGCTGCTCGATTTTGATAATTGGATGAACTAGGGCTTTGATTTGCTCTGTTTGATGGTGAACCAGAATCAGAAAATATGGAGCTGAAATTGTCGATTAATTCTCGGAAAAAACTCATATCTGAAGGGGCTCTTGATCATGATTGAACATATCCATGATGATTTTTACAGAAATTTGCAGTTGATTCCTCACGCAATTGCTTGAACCTTGAAGAAGTGAATGTTGACTATTCAAGAACTGAATAATGATTATTGATGTGTGAATTTTATGCCACGCGAATACCACGGCCACGGATGTAGTTTTAAGACATGGAATAACTAACGACTCATAACTCATGAGATTCTTTATATTTGCAAAATTAATTTATGTCAAATCTTCTAAACTATTCTATGTGTGTTGTAAAGATATGACTTTTCTCGACTGATATTCTAGATACACAAAACTATAAAAATATCATTGTGGTATGTATTTTTTTTTTTTTTTGAAGTTTAGTCAAAACCTCAATCTTTTTGGCTTTGTGGTTCTTTTAAGCTAGTTTATGTCAAATCTTCTAAACCACAGGAAGCACATGATCCATACTCGAATCGAGAAAATCGAGAAAGGTCTTGAAGAATCTAGGAAGCCTATGGGATGAGGATTCTTGGGTATATTCAGATCTTTTGCATGTTGTTTCGGTATGGTGTTGAGCACTCAGGAATGGGGTTCAGATTTGGTTTCGGCTCAGGAGCAGGTACTGAGCTGATCGATGCACGGACGCAGGAGTTCATCTCATCGGAGAATACTCGCGGTATTTTGGAATGGACCACGTTGGTCTTTGGTTCAGCCAAGGAAGGGATTTTGGAGCTCTTGGATGGTCAGCTCGGGGCCTTTCGGGACGAGGTTGTATTAGGGCAGTTGAGGGCTCGTCTGGAGCCAAAATCTTGTGGATCTCTAGAATCCTTCAGGAAGGAGGATCCTATTGTCGGTTCTTGTCATATGGGATCGAGGGGGAGTTTTGCACCATGTCCTCAGGGTGTTCGGGGTAGCTCGAGAGGAGGAGGTATGATTTCTTCGGATGCTTTTGCAGGTATGTTATCTTCTGTTTCTTTTGGGTTGCTATCGGGAATATGTATTGCGTTGGAATTTTGCTCGGGTTTGGGAAAATTATATCTCAGGTTGGTCCCCTGCTATTGTCTGGGTTATCCTAGATTGTGATATGCTATTCTGCATGCCGAGAGCCTTCGATGAATCTTCAGAGGGCCGTATCTTGTTGAGTGGGTTTCAGCGTGTTCCATTGTTGAACCTGGTTTTTTTTCGGGATCAATTCAGGGGTGTTGTTGGAAGATCTTTGGTCGGGGTTCAGTGGTTTTATCATTTGTTCTAGTATGATCGGCGGTTGCCTAAGGGAGAAGACCTGAGAGAGACTAGACTTCTAGTAAAGGTCTTATGTTCAGTACTTCGTATCAGGTTCTATCTATGGGACCTTAACGATAATTTTTTTGTTCTTTCTGAAAAAACCTAAGAGGTCGGGTTCAAGCACTACCGTTTCTAGGAGAGGAGAGGTAGCAGGAAGATGGTGGTGTCAGTTGCATGAGTTGTTTGGTCATCAGAAATGTCAGGGGAGTTGTATGTTCGCATGGGTTGAAGACAGTTAGAGTTCAGTGGTTCTTTGAGAATGGAAATTGGAGTGAATGTTCGTCAGTGCATGGAAAAGGTTGTGGTTTTTGGTCGACATAGGAACTTAAGGAATTGGTATGGTATCATTGGAAGTGATTTGGATTATCAGACTGGTTAAGATTTCAAGAGTATTCTTCAGGATTTCAGGAAACCTTCTTTGACGCATGTTCTCCCAATAGTGCGAGTACTGACTTGTTCGTAGAAAAGAAGAGTCCTGACAAGTATACCGTCTGCTATTCTTACTAAATCTCAAGATTGAATTGGTAGTTGTACAATTGAACACGGTATGGGAAATATACAAATTGAACACGGTATGGGTAGGAGTCAAGTGGAACATAGAATTGTTTGTAGTCAAATTGAACATAGAATTGCTTATTGACAAGTTTGTGGGTATGTGGTTTTTGCATTTCGTTCAATAGGGGGAACACGAGACCTATAAAGAAAGGGGAATACATATAAATGTTTTTTAGATTTTGACGCATTAGTAGGATTCATTCTTTTCCTCTCCACAGATACCGAGATCTATCCTTAGATAGACGCACTAGAAAGTTGAGACTGGTTTGTTCATGAGGCTAGTTCAGGAATTAAGGTTTTCTAGTTTCAATCTATAAATACCATTGGGTGATCATTGAGTTTGGCTAACAATGGAACGTTAGTATTGATTAGTGTAGGTCGTAGGCAGTTCATGCTATATGAGGCTGATGGGTTGGGAACCCATCTGATTTAAGGGATGAGAGAGCTTCATCGAATCCTAGTGGGGGAGAATCGATCAGGTTTTCTGGGAGGTAGGAAGGGTGTGAACTGGGGCAAGTTTCACATTCTGACTAGGAGGAGAGACGTCCCAAGTGGCTGTTTATATTGAGGTTGTGTAAGTGGGAGTTCAGGAAACTTCCAACCGTTGGTCGGCGTCTTCTGTATTATGCATAACAGGCTTGCGGTTGAGTCCAGGTTGAGGGCTTCAGAATTCAAAGTACGACCCGAACACCTGATTGGATGCAGTTGGATGCAGGTTTCGGCTCGGGCTAAGTGGGGTCGTGATGGTTGGGTGTGGTAAAGTCATGGGTGGCAACCATGGTTGGTTCGAAGTGTTGTAAGACTGCGATGGGATCGTAGCATTCACCAGTTCGAGTTAAACTATCATTGGAGGTGGTCATGGGCGTAAAGGGGGAATCAGTTTATGCCTTGGGCACGCCGGTCAGGATTGTCGAGGAGCATTTCTCTATTTTAGGTTGAGGACCATTGGGGTCCGAGGCGGAGTCGGGCCTGTGTAGCTCTAGATGGGTGGGACCCGTGGACGAGGCTGCTCTGTGGTATAGTTTTGGTGGGACCCGTGGGCGAGGCCCGAGTGATTTTGGCAATACAGGTGGGACCTGGTAGAGACCGTTGGGTCAACGATTTGGATCTTGAGTGGCAGGATTAAGTGGATGGTCAGTGTGACGCATAGGGGTTTATAGGCTAGGTAGCCTTGTTATTAGGACTCTTAGGAACCCGATGGTTAGACTAGGTGCGAGACTAGTAGTCTCAGCGATGGTTTGGGAACCTTTATATATCTCGGTCTAGTGAGGGGTTGTCGTGAATCAGAAGGTTTTGGGTGAAATGCAAGTGCAGATTTGTGGATCTCGGGTTATGAGTTGAGTATCGGGTTGGTTTTGGGGGGATATCTCGAGTTAGGAATCGCGAGTGTTTTGTGCAAGATTTTCTTTTCGGTAGGATAAGGATTGGGGTATCTATACGCCGGGGGCATCGATCGAAGGGTTCAAGGGTAAGGAATGGATTCAGTTTTGATGATAGATCAATCCGTTGTGATTGTGTCTTGGATTGGTTCTATATCTGAACGACATCAAGATAAGTCAATGCAATATTATTGATTTGAAACTCATGTGTGAAGTAGCTTGTTATTCGGAGATGTCAGGTCACTTGCAGTTGGGATTGGATAATCTCAAAGTAAATGATTTGATCTTGTTTCCAAGCTCTCGTCTGAGTCTAACCGTTGCAAGGATAAGTCTCCTACTCAAAGGACTATCTGAGCCTTCTGTCAAGTATAAGCATTCTGTAGGGATATTTGGTCTGTGATTCTGTTTTCTAGTGGGAACCTTAAGTTATTAGAAGTTGAGTAGTCAGTTGGGAGATAAGTGGAATGGATTTAGCAATGATTCAGTTTGGGCGGTCTGCCAGGGATTCAGACCACCTCGAGACTTCAGATTTTAGATTGAGTAAATGTGGTTATGTTGCAAGGGATTATTTTTTCGGATGGAGAAGGGATTTGTTCATCTTCGGGTTGGAGAGCCCTGCGATGGATGGTTTCAGTTGCCTTAGGGAAGGTTGGGGTATGCTCGGGGTTGTGGTCGTGTTGCTCAGATTGTTTGGCATGTCGGGAATGGTAATGAATGATTTCGAGGACAAAATCTAATTAAAGTGGGGGAGAGTTGTAACGCCCTGTTTCGAATCGTTTCCCATTTTGGAGTGGTGATCAGGGATTGGGTATTAGCAGGCTTAGGACCCTTGAAGAATTGAGTTTTGGACTCATTTGGAGGTGGATGATGTAATTTGGATGATCTGGGTATTCGGTTTGTGTTTTGGAGTCAAAGGGGTATTTCGGTAATTTGTCATCTCGGGCTTCTATCGAAAATGGATGTTTGTTCGGGATATGGTAAGGAGGGTATGATTTGAATGAAGTGAAGAGCTTCTCGTTACCTTTTCATGGATATAAGGATCGTCAAAATCGGATTTATAATGAATAAGTTATGGCCTTCGGAGTGCTTAAGGGTTTAAGGGGAAACCCTAGTACGCAGGGCGTACCTAGGGAGTACGTTTAGCATACTGATGTGAAGGGTATTACGTTGGGCATAATGTGGTGTACGCTTAGAGTACTGTGAGGATTGGATCTGGGGTGCAAGACCTCGTACGCTGGGCGTACGAGGAGTACACGGGGCGTACAAGGGGTAAAGTGAAAACCCTAATTTGGAAGTTGTAACCTATATAAGCACATTAAGTCTTTTTGGCTGGCTTCTTTACCAGCCTCCAAGTCCCCAAAATCCTAGAAATCGTCCCTAAGCCTCCATGGTTGTGATTTTGAGCTCATGGTGTGCATTTTGGTGTTTTTGGGTCATTTTCAAGAAGATGAAGTTTGGTGCAAGCTTGTGGATCAAGGAAGAGCTTGTGGATCTGGACTATTTGCTTTATTTCGATCTTGTTTGAGGTAAAAAGGTTTGATCTTGTTCATTGTTGGCTTAGATCTATGTTGTATGAGTTTTGGTCCCTTTTTGGCCCCAAGAATGAGATCTAGTGGTTTGGTACCACTCCAGGAGCTATGAGTTGCCACTCTTGGTGTTTCTGAGGTTCTAGATGCATAAAGTTGCCTCCTTTAGGGTTTGGAATCCCCCGTGCATGAGATGGTGTCCATTTGGTGAAAGTATAATGCTTTATCTTGAAGATTGGTTCTTTTGGGGCATGCAAAGTCACCAAGTCAGTGACTTTATGGTTCTAGACACTTGTGTGGACTCAGATCTCTGGTTTGGACTTCTGTACTTAAGCATTAAGAGCTTAATGTCGAAATTGGCTTAATGGATGAGTACGTTGGGCCTACAAGTCTGTACGCGCAGTGTACAAGCCAAATTACATGTACGCTTAGCGTACAGCTGAGTACG